AAAATAATGTTATTCACATTGTACAAAAGACAATATTTCCTCATTGTAGACAAACATACTGATTTATTGATTCACAAATATCCAAACAACCGAACCAATTTTTACACGTCACAGTTCACGTACAAACATATCGACATGCAACACAAGAGAAAAAGGCATCGTGATGCAAACGTGGTGCTGAACACAAATCCAGAGTAAGTCACCACGGGGGGGGGAAACTGTTAACTCATTTCTTAAGAACTACACAGTGATCACAGAGCTGTGACTAATAATGGCAGGCAACATGAGAGCATGTCAGAACACACACATCACTGTGAGAGACTAACTCTCACACACACACACACACACAATAGAGAGCCGAGGTCCCGCTGCACTGGGTGAGGTTCTGTCTCCAATAGCTTCCTGTTCTGAAAGTATTTTGCCTTTAGGGCCTTCTTTTATCTTTTATCTGAAAAGCTAATGTGAGTAACGTCCATATGCAGAATGGTTGTCAACTCCACTGCAGTGTTGTACACGCTATTGAGATCTGAGCATCTTTTCAATTTAACCAGGGTAACACTACTTTTGTCAGTATTGCTGTTATACACTACGTTCACGAATAAATGAAATGACCAGATGTTTAAATGTAACTGTCCAGTACACTAGTACTGTAGGTTAATATTTAATGTGGAACATGCACAGAAAACTACAGTATCGTGGTCCAGGTGTTCTTGTCTGATGAAGGTTAGTGAAGCAGAGCAGGACCTCAGCTCTCTATAAACTTAGTCTTCTACCTATCCCCCAAATTCTGTTTCTGTAGACTGAGTGATGTAAAACTGGCCAATAAATCCGTCACCTCATCCACCTGTAAAAAAACAAAACAAAACAAATATCTATGAATTGATGAAAAACTAATGTACAATGAACCATCAATACCTGCAAACTGAAGAATATACACATCAATACACACATTAACTGCATCAGGTCGGGGTCGGAGAGAGAAATGCAGCCTGAGATGCACTCTTATGTGAATCTGTGAATGTGGGTCTCACCTGCTCTTTGGTGCGCGTGTGCTGCAGCCGCGTGGAAATGTGTTCCAGCCTCTCTTTAGCTTCACTCTGGCCCATTAAGTTCAGGTATTCCCTCAACATTTGTATTATCTAAAAAAAGAGAGTCACATCATGATCTGTATGCACCAAAAAGTCCAGTTCTGATTCATTAAGCCAGGGAGGGAACGTTCTGTCTACCTGTGTGACTTCCCCTCTCAGGGTTTCTAAGCTGCGAGAATCTCCCTCCTGCAGAATGTTGAGCTTGGAACGAGCGAGATGCAGCGGGGTCCTGCCTGCTCGGTCGAGCGCGTCCACACGAGCTCCTTCACAGAATCAAACACAAATGTCTCCATTACATACATTACTTAACTGGTGAACCTGAGGCACTGTATAGACACTGTGGAATCTTCAGGAAGTGCAATACTTTTTAGTAAAAGTATTACAAGTCAAAATACTGTATTTCTATTGGTCACTGTGATATTTATATATGA